CTCCTTCTGTGAGATTGGACAAATAATTTTGATATTTAAACACTTTCAAAACTCTGTCCCTGAGCCAATTCCCCATCCATAAAATATGGGGCTATAGCATCAACTGTTTGGATTAGGGGAATAATGTATGTGTTTAAATTGAAACACTCAGCAACACTGGAAAATAATTACACAGAAAGAGCAGTATTCCTCTGAAAATAATATATTGTGGCAACTGGTTGAACCCCCAGGAGTGGAGTGTTTAAAACTAGAGAGATCAACATAGGAAACACAGCAAATTATGGTCTTTTCATACCTGAAGAGGGCCTGCAAGAAACCTGAGGAGGAACATGGATGTGTAATGACAGGCCAAGGAGGAATGGCTTTAAACTGAAAAAGAATAGGTTTAGACTGGGTATTAGGAAGAAATTCTTGACTGTGAGGGTAGTGAGGCACTGGCACAGGTTGCCCAGAGTTGCTGTGGCTGCCCCATCCCTGGAAGTGTCCAAGGCCAGGTTGGACGAGGCTTGGAACAACCTGGTCTTGGTGAAGGTGTCCCTGCCCAAGAGAGGGGACTTGGAACAAGATGGTCTTTAAGGTCCCTCCCAACCCAAACCAGTCTGAGATTCTCCGCCCTTAATGAACAGTGGGAAGGTATTGACTGGCCTTTTCCATCTCTTAGCACTGCAATTCAGAATGTTGCAGCTTGTAGACACAGTAACTTTTTATTTTCATTAGCCCTGGCTTTTCTGGCCACACAAGAAACTGCTTGTGTGAAAATTCCAGCAGAAGGCGTCTCCGCTGAGTACAAATAAGGATACTGTCAGCAGCACCAGCATGTGCCTTTTCACACTGTCCTGCTGGCTGCTCCTGCCGACTCTGATGGATCTGCTCTGCCCATGAGAGCACACTCTGGCTTTGATTTTCCTTCACCCCTGTTTCTGCAGTGTGGGGAGGCTGCCAGGCAGCAGAGGAGAGGTTTTATTGTGAGATGGGTGCCATTAATTCATTGCAAATGGGTAATGCAGCTCTCGGGTTGGGAACTGGTATAAATTATTGCTAGCATGATGTTGATTCAGACAGATGAGCAGTGGGAGCTGGCATTGCTTTTAAACCAGACACAGAGGGATTATGTAAAGACTTGAAAGCCTGTAATGGAAGAGGAATGAACCTGCTGATCCAAAAGAATTTCAGATTTATAACCTAGAACCGACTTCTGCAGGTACATTCATGGTGTGTCACAGAGATGGTGACACTTTGTCTCCAGATCAAATCCTGGCTGGCATGGAATCCATGTGGTGATGTTTGAGTTCAACTCCAGGGTGAGTGGCTGAGAAGGGCTTGCCATCTAAAAAGTTACAGCTCTGCCTGTGCTTCTCAGATGCACAGCCCAAGCTGCTGTAGAATTTTATCATTTGGATAAATACCCACATTTCAATGCTGACTGCTATACCTTGAGAGACTGAATGTCCCTAGAGTTCCCCAGAGCAACTCATCTCCTCTCTTGCAGATGATCCAAGCTCATTTCTCATGTGCATTTTTAAGTGCAGGGTTCCTGACTATGAGGTGTGTGAACACTTTTATTGAAACTGTTTCTTCCCCTCTTGATCCATCACTCATTCTGCTGACTGAGTTGCTTTAACTTCTCTGCTAGATTGCATGGAGCAGGACAAGTGCCAACCCTTCTCTGCCAGGATTTCTGTGCTTAATACTGAGATAAGACTGAAATCCTTGGTACTTCTTTTCTGGTGGTTTTAATAATAAATAACTTTCCTTGATACTTTGCTTCAACTCATGCCATGCTTTGTGTCAGATGCACTCCTTTCCGGAGAATTTAAGGAGGGCATTTCAAAGGAACCAGATGTTTAATCTTTCTTGTGGAGTTGGCTGCCACACAGGAGCTAACTGGAAATTGTGAGGTATTTTACACTTGAGAAATGCTTTCCATTTCCCAGTCTTTCTAAATCAAAAGAAAGCTGTGTATCGGCTGAGCATTATATAAACTAGAAAAAGAGCAGACTTGCTGCGTGCCATCTCTCTGTGTACTCTTTGCAAAGATGGGCCTTTCCTGGCAAAGTGTACTCAAGATGTTTATGGAGTCCACAGAGAAAAATGATCCCTTGAAGTGGAAAAGTCCAAGTTTGTGTGCTGTAGACATCCTGTGCTGCTCTAAGTTGCTTCCAGAGTTTTAAAGGTATCTAGTTGCTGATGTGAAGAAAAGCACCTCTTGGAATTTTTGGAAGTGCCAAAGTGTGTGCTAGTCACAGGTGTTAAGCACGTGCCTGCTTTTGGGAATCTCACAGCCACCTCTGTTTTAAGGCACCAAATGACTACCTGATAGTGTTCTTATGTCCTCAACCATCCCAAAGAGGTAACAGCACAGCCCTACTCCATAAGGTGTTGTGACAATAATACTCTCTATCAATGCTTCTCCTTGAATATTTCTCTATCTCTACTCTTCCTTGGGATACTGTCGCTGACTGATTTAGCAATGGTTTGCTTTACCTGACTCCTCCTCTGGTCCTGTAGGTAGCATTCAGGTGGTGGTGGCACAGATGCCAAGATGGAAAAGCCATATGTCAGTTCTCTGGGCATGCTTAGGAACACAAAGAGATCATGGTGTTTCTTTCCCCTGCTTCAATCAAATGTTTAAGTGTTGGGTAGTGTCAATTTTTCTACGAAAGATGCAGGTTCATCCAGCCTGTCTTGTGCCCTGGAGATGGTCATGAATGCTGAGAGATAAAGGAGATATTTATGAAGAAGAGTAAGTCTGAAACATAAAAGCTTTTTGCTTCATTTTCTTCACTGGATGCCTATCAACAGGTTACTGGGATGCAGTTTGGGTGAAAAGTTTATAAAGGAAAATGTCCTGTGTCTTTTAAATACTTATCAGGTCCTGAGTCTGAGATACAGCAATAAGACTCTTTATTTTTGGAGGGTGCTGAGCACTATGCGCTCTGTGTCCTTTTGGGTGCCTCAAATTCAGCACCCAGAACTGCAGTTCTCCCTGGCTGTGGTTTGCAGGATAATCTCTGTTCTACCCACCCCCTCTCCAGACTCTGATATTTCCCTGGCACAGGTATCCCCCTCATTCCTGTCTGGTTCCTACCAGGGGATGTGTTTTTTTGCTGCCTTCCAACTGTTGCCAATTCAGATTTCACTAGAAACCTCTGTGCCAGCTCTTTGATATTCAGAAGCTGAGGGGTTTTCTGTCTGTTTCCTGACCTAGCATGACTCTTCTAATAGTGCAAGACCTTCAGTGCTGATGTCCTGGCAGCCTGATACAGGAGGTCAGTCTGTAAATCTAGTTACAATTTTCCTTGCCTCAGCAAAGACAGTAAGTCAAACATAATGTAAACAAAGTGGTTGGATCACTTCACCCACCAGTAATGTGGTGGGTGATGCAGGCAAATTTAATGGATGCGATTAAATCTCCTGTTCCAGTCTGGCAGCTGATTAGCTGCAGGGGGCAGGCAGGAATTTCCTTTCTGATCCAGAGCTGCCCTCTTTCCAAGTTCTCCTTCAAACTTCTGCCAAGCATCTCAAAGTGCTTTGCATTTTTAATTGCGCTTCTTCACGCCCCTGTGAGGGTGGAGATGAGAGATAGCATGATCCTAAGTGGAGCCCCGGGGAAACTGAGGCACTGGGAGGGGGCAGCCTGCTTGGAATGAGAGAGGAAGGTGGTGTTAGACTTGGAGAAAAGGGACATGGGCATCCCAGAGATCTTCTCTTGAAGCTCATGTGGGTCTACTGAGCTTGTGCCTAGTCCTCGTCTGTGTCTTAAGCACCCTGAAGTCTTGGTTGTCTGCTAGGCATTAATGTATAGTCACTGACAGGAAAAATAAATCTTTCTCCTGTGGAAATTTTAATTTATTTTTGTCTTTCATCACTCAATTCCTCTACTTTCTGAAGAGAATGACCTGTATACATATTTCTTCTCTTTGTATGGAGAAGCACTTTGCTCTGAAATAGCCTCAGGTGTTGGCTGTGGCTGAGGAAGAGAACTGGTTCAGCTCCATAGATGACTCCATTCTTTGTCCCTACAGGGGAAATTTGTGAATTCTCTGTGTGGATTCACCTTCAGTGGGTGTACACTGAGGTAGCTACACCAGCTTTGATTTCTTTACCTGGTTGTACAGCTGAAGAACTGGCCTTTTAAGGAGGAGAAAACACTCCTGTTATTAGGGCATGCTTTGGTCCAAAGAGGAGACCAGAGATGTCCAAAATACCTGTCAAGTATGAACCCATCATTCCACATGCATATTGCTCATGCTGTGGCTGCCAAAACAGAGAGCAGTATGGGTTAGCTGAGTCTTCATGTTCCTTGGGATGGTGGGAAAGGAGAATGAGCCTTTCCCATCTTACAGCCTACAGCTCAATGGGAAATAGTGTATTTTGGATCTCACAGGGTGGGGAGGGTTTCCTATAGCAGGAACTTATTTTTTGTGGTGTGTTGGATTATTTAAGCTTTATGATTTCATGTGAACAGCATCCTCTAGAGTTCGGTTTTGTGAATCTGGAGTGGACAAAACGTTCTGAAGTTCAGTCTTGAACCAGCAGCTTGATGGCTGAGAGAGGCAGGATTTCAGGCATAGCTATAGCTCCCATTGCTATAGGGCATCCTGTCTGGCCTGCTGTCATGGTAGGAGCAGAGAGCTCTAACTGGAGTGCTCTGAAGCCTAGAACTGAGGCCAAAGCCTGGCTTAATAACTTCTGTTTCAGTTTCTGAGATGAGTGTCTAAATAGAACATCTGAATCTGATCCTTAGCCTAGTATCAAGGCTTAATTGTAAATTAACAGTATCTTAATCACTTTATGGTTTCCAGCACTCTCTCATTGAATGTCTCTGTGCTGGCATTTGGAGAGCATTCATCATAGTGGAAAATGAGTGTCTGTTTGGGATGCACGTGGTATAATTATCAGCTATCAGCTGAGCCCGTAGCATGACGTGACAATTCTCATTCTGACCAGCTGAAATAACTCACTCTAACAACTGTGCTCTTCTTGCTACTCTCTTTCAGTTCCCAAGAAGCTTCTGCATGAAACTCAGGCAGGACCAACCAATCAACAAGGGCATCAGAAGCCACATTTTCCACTGCAGCCGAGAGTGTTTGACCCCGATGTTATAGGGGACGGCGTGTTCCTTTCGGATGTCTCTCCTTCCAATATAGAGCCAGCTCTCCCAGGTAGCTGTGACCATTGTGGTGTTGGCCCAAACCTAATGGTGTTGTGGTAACTGTTCCCTTCCATCTCCTCTTTTCTGGATTTCTGTATTGCTCCTAAATCCCATCCACGTCACAGTCAGAAAGGGCTGTGACAGCTTCAAGATGTGACCAGCAATGGGCTAAAGTGAAACTGTGAAACTGCTCAAGGAACACCGGGTTTCTTGGGGTAGCAGTCATGGCGATGCCTGTCCAAACTCATCACAGAAATACTTTCCAGACCTGTCTAGTGGCAAAGGAAAAAAAAGAACAGGGCAGAGACAGTAGATCTGCCTCATGGGACAGAGAAGTTTTCAACTGAGCTTTGAAATACAATGCTGTTTGCATAAAATGCAAAGTGAAAAGATATGAATGAAGTCAGATCTTAGCCATCTCTAGGGATAGGTGAGTAGGAGGAAGGGGTGGTGTATGAATAAAGGAAAAGCACAGGTGAGCACGTGTTGGATTCCTCTGTGGTTTTGTGCTGTTTCCCAACATGCAGGAGATGGTTTATGACACTACTGAAAATCCCAGTCTGTGCTCCCAGACATTCAGCTTGAGGGTGGGTATGGGCAGAACTTCTCTCTGTCTACACTTCTGGCAAAGTTAATCCACAGCTTGGATAGCCAATTCACAAATAAACAAGAACTAGCCATAACAGGTTTGTCAGTTTGGAAGCCTTACTGAAAAACTGTCAAGGAAAAGAGTTTTAAGTTAGCTGCAAATAAATATTGTGATCCTGGAGATTCTTTTAAGCAAGGAAAAATATCCTGAACTCATTTCCACTCATCTAAACATTTTAACTTGTACGAATGACACCTTTTGTTTAGTTTTCACATAGTTCATTCATTCACTTTCAAAATATGCGCCACTTTTCAAACAAAAATGTCATTTTGAAATTAAAACCCAGAAGAAGTTTGTTGTTTTTGTTTCAAAAATAACGAAATACTTGGAAATTTCTGTAATCTCCCTTCCTGTTTTATTTCTTTTGTTAAAACTATTTGCTAACATTAGCCTAGAGCCTAGTATCATGAATAACCTCTCCTGTGCTTATACTGTGGTGTTGGGCAAATTTACTGCTGCCTGAAAGAATTTTGTTCAGCTTTGGTGTAAACTCACAGAGAAACCATTCAAGTGACTGGCAACAGCTAAGACAGGGTGATTAGGAGAAAACCAGTAGTAGTGAGCTGATTAGACATTGAAAAGTCTCCAAAGCCTGCAGGGAGGAAAGGGAATATCTTTTAGTATGATCCTTAAAGGAATGGCAGACCAGGGAACCCCATAGCGTAGTAACACATGGCCCTTGAGAAATTGTGTGTTTGTTTTTTCCTTCCTGCATAAGTCCAGTCATTTCCTGCCTTCTGTGTCTGTGCTTGTACAGTCCTGACAATGATAAAACCAATTCTGTGGTTTTGTGATGCTCTTTGCTGGACTTTAGTGTATGCAGGCCACTATTAATTTAAAAACATGTTTGATTGCATCTGTTCATTTGAAAAGTTAGAAGTGAAAAAAAGAAAAGGGGGATTCTTCTTACACCTCACATCTGGAGAGGAGTTATCCCTTACTCTGCCTCCTGAAGACATTGTTGTGGCACATGGTTTACAAGGGCTGCTCCACACCCAACAGAGTGGTGTCCCTCTGACATAGGAAATATGTATGAGATTATTTCCTGGTGGTGCCCTTCATTTTCCTCAGTTGTGAAGGAATCTTACATTAACTAGCTCAGAGCCAGACCTCAGTCAGAGACATCTCGGGCAGGTTTCAGTTACCCCCATACAAATGTGTCATTTGTGATCACCTGGGGTCTTCACCTGGCTTCTAGAAGGGTGGGCATTTCCCCTCCATCCCTTCTCATACCTGTCAACTCTGCACAGATGTCCTCCTTACCCTGGAGTGTCTTAGATGTTTGTGTATGAGCAAATACATTGAGCTTCAAGTGTCTTCTATGAGGAGAGCTGAATGACTCTCTGCTATCCATCAACTAATAGCAGGATTCTCTTGCCTTAGTTTAGATCCATGGTGCTACTTGAGATGCTCTGAAATATCCAAGTTTTAGGTTCAGTTTTTGGAAGTTAAATATTTACCATGGATCTCTGGATTTCCTTGGAACAGCAGTAGGGAAAAATTAGAATACTTGTACAGGCAGATTTAGCAGACAGGGAGGATAAAGGAGATATTAGAAGGCATGTTAATGTGAATTTAAAAAAATTCTGAACTAAAAAATATTGTGAAATGTTGCTATTGATTTCCTGCCAAATGTGCCCTTAGACCTTCTGTGTCCATTTTGCCCAAGGGGTCTGCAGTAACCTCTATTCTCCTAAAGCAAGAGGCTCTTGGAATATCTTACTCTTTGGGATATGACACCCAAGCACTCATGTTTAAACATTTTGCTTGGAGTCCAGTCATTAACATCATGGTAACCTTGAACATGTGGCTTTCCCAAGGCCATGCAGCTATTCAGTGGCAGAGGTACAGCTGTGCCCACATTCCTTGGGGCTGATCCCTCACAGTGACACCTGGACATCCATCCCCGCTGGTTCTCCTCCAGGCAGATTAGGAGTTGGCATCACTGCACACACATTCCTGCCCTCAGTCCCTCTCCATCCAGTATTACCTGTTCTCTTTGACTCCCCTCACTTTCTGTTACTGCTTCCTTGGGCTGAGCTGCTTCCTGGCACCCACAGCAGGAAGCTGAACATGATGTCTCGTGCTGCTGGGTTTGCAGGGAAAGGAGATGGATCAAGCAGCCAAGGAACAGAGACCATCTCACATCACACCACTCCTGACAGAATGCCTTTGCTTGCATGGCACTGGTGGCATCATTGGAGATGGAGCTGGCAGTGTTCTGAATTTAATACCTGCAGATAAGCAGAAGCCAGGTGCAAGTCTGTGATTTTACAGAGTGGTGCTTGCTTTTGGCCAGAACTAGACACCCAGAGAAGGGAGCCTGGAAATCTATAATAGCTACAGTTAAAAACTCACATGGATGATGGAGCTGGATCCTGTGCAATGACTTTTTCCTGTGTTGAAAACAATTACTGTTCTGTGAGTAGTGGGGGTGTCTGCCTGCAGATCAAGGTGTGGAGAGCCCTCAACAGCGAGCTGATAAAGTCTGAAAGGGTCTCTTTGAGCCTCCTGGAATGAACTGCCTCCTTAGCTCTAGTCCTCAACAAATAAAATCAAATCATTAACCCATGTTCACTCACCTCTCCAGAGGGGAAATGGTGTCTGGGTGAAACACAATATGAGCAGGCTTCTGAGGGAAGTCATAAACTCAGGTCTGCCCTTCCCCACGAAGGTTGGAGAGAAAGCACGTCTGTTTGCCAGCTGTGGATGGATCACTACAGCCCCACACCAGCAGAGCGTTGTGGGCTCTGCCTGTGTTTTCCAGTCCTCCTTACAAGCTTAGCTGAACCCACTGTTGATAAAGGCTCCTTTGATTTACATAAGAGAAAAGAAACCTGATTATATATTTGCTGTAACATAGGTGGGTGTGTTTAAGTGGTGACATGAAAGAGCAGGAGATGGGGGAGAGATGATGATGCCTGGATGCAGAGGAGGTATGTGCTCAGCTGAAGCTGCTTGAGAAGGTTTTGTTACCCCCCAAAAAGGGACAAACTTGGGCAGCTCCCTGTTGAGCAGCTCCAGATTTCTGAACGCAGATGCTGACCTGGGGATAAGGCGAGGTAGGGCTGGGTCACGTTCCACATTCCTCATTCCTCATTCCCTTTCTGTGTCAAAGCAGAGAAGAAGAAGGGGAGGTCAGCCACTTTCTACACTGTAGACAACACTCCCCTCCTGCTCCCTGTGGATGAGACAGAACCGCCGGGGCTCAGCAGCAGCAGCAGCAGCAGCATGGAGCCCGTGGGTGTCGGCACGGAGATGGCCCTGCTCAGCAACATCCTGGCAGCCTATGCCTTCATCACAGGTACTGTTTGTCTGGTGTCTCACACCTCCCTGGGCTCCTGAAAGCTTTTTGTAGACCCTCCTTTCACAGTCACCTGGGGCTAAATCTGCCTCTCTGAACTGTTTGTGTATTTCATTCTTCTCTCAGCGAATTCTCCCTTGGAAGGCCTGACCAGGGCAGCTCTAGCAGGCAGTGTATAACCGAGTTTATTGTGCACTGCTTTCCACTGGCTCTGCTCGCATCTGCAGTTAAGCACAATGTAATCTTACATGCGGTGTTATTCCTAATGCTTCATTTTCCTGGAGATCAAAGCCTGGCTCATTAGGGAGCCAAGTTTGTTGTCCTGTAATTTGGAAAATAAGCAGCACTCAAATCTTTACACTGCTTAAGAGAATTTGGCTTATCTTCAGTAGAAGTGTGAAGATGAAGTAACTTGAGAGTCTACTTAATTGTATATTTAAATCTACTTTAGAGTAAGATTTCCTTGGATCACAGTTTATCTTTCATCCACGTGTATCTTTCAAGTAACGGGGGAGCAGTCTTCTAAAAAAATTCACTTTAAAAGGTGAATGAAAAGTGACAGAACCAGGGGGAATGCCTTTAAACTGCAAGAGAGTGGGTTTAATCAGACATTAGGAAGAAATTCTTTACTGTGAGGATGGTGAGACACTGGCACAGATGGCCCAGAGAGGTTGTGGCTGCCCCATTCCTGGAATTGTTCAAGGCCATATTAACTAGAACTCCAGTATTTGCGAGCTACTTTTTCATATCTGCCAGCTAATTCAGTCTTGCTAATTCATTAAACAGTGTGCATTCTTGCTGCCATGCTCTTGCTCTTGCTGAGATGCCCCCATGCTGCTAATCCAAGTATTTGGAATTGAAGCAGCTAACTTGGGCTTTGCACTTTGGAACCACTGAGTAGATTAGTGAGAGTGTTTCTGCATATTATTTAGTGAAGGATTCTTCTAAAATGACTATGAAGGGTTATACAAATTTCTGCTCTTCTATACATCCAGTGCTGTCATCAGGATGCATTTTTTCATGACAGCCCTCAGAGTCAGGCAGATTAAATGGAATTAGTAGTGTTCTTCACAGAAGATAGCTGGGTAGGATAGATTTGTTTTCTTGCATGGGTGTCTCCAAGGAAAAGTTAAACAAACAAGCTTTAAAGGAGTCTTTTGTCTGTCTGACTTTTTCCCCCTTACCTACAGCTACCAGTTTTAACATGAGAATACCTACCTTCCCATCCCTACTATAAAACAAAATGCTGTTAATATTGTGTTCCCCATCTGAACAGTAATGGGCAGAGAAAGCTGTAGGATTAATGGTCCAGGATATTTGGGACTGTGATTCAGGGCTGCTGACAATGATCCGTGGACTTTGCTTCCACTGACCACAGCAGAGCTCTTTGACTCTGTGTTGGTTTTGGGGCACAAAGTGTTGATTCATCCCTGTCACAAGGTGTCAGCCTTGGCAGGAGCCTCCAGATTTTACTGCAGCACAAACAACTTTAACTGTCCTGTTGCTGTGGGATTTGTCTGCCCTGTCTTCGCGTGGTTTCCTTGTGTGGTGTTCACATCCACTGGATGTCAAATAGGTAAACTCAGACCTCAAAACTTTGGTTTCACGTGCTGAGTTCAGGACTTATGTTTTCCAATGTATCATGGAACCATAGAATGTTTTAGGTTGGAAGAGCCCTTAAAGATCAGCTGGTTCCCATGTTCCTCACCATGGCTGTTAGATGGGTTTTAGTCTCAGTGACATATATGTCCAGTTTGTTATTTTTTATAAAAATATTTGATGACTGACCCGTGGATTGAAACAGCAGATGTCCTAAACCATCTTTATCTGCTGCATGTAATTTAGCCTCTGCTTTTTGTGGAAATGACGGATTTGTCATGATTAATTTTGTTATATGTGAGTATGAGATGTTTTAGCTTATGACTTCTGTGTCACAGGCACAAATATAATTTACATAAAACTAGAGCACTGCCAACCCATCCTTCTTCATAGTGCATATTTTGAACAGCAGAGAAGTTGGATTTTTTTTTTTTTTTTTTTTTAATGCCTGCCTGAATTTGGGGCCCTGAAGGCAGCTCAAGCCACAGCTGATGTCCATAGAAGATCCATTATAGTGGCTCAGGAAAGTCAAGGTATTGAGCAGGCAGGGAGGGCTGGTTCTGTGTCACACATCTTCCCACTGCTCCTGACCACAGGTCTGGTGCCAAAGAGAAACAGCAGTGCAAGAGCTGCTCTGTTCCATGACACTTAAAACGTCCCTCAGGCGCTCTCTGCAGACTGAAAGTGCTGCATTCAGGGCTTTCCTGTGCTCATGAGCTGTCTCAGAATAGGAGTTTGTAAAAGAAAATTGTAAATAGGAAGGGGCAGTATAAAAAAGTGTTTTTTCTCTTGGGGCAGAGTCTGGTGGATACTCTCAGATCCACTGCAGGGAAATGAAGCTGTGGGTTTTTTGCTCTTTCATGGGTAAAGTGCAGGCTTGAAAGGATGATCCTCTCTACTGCCTTTCCTCTCTCCTGGCAGTGGGGTGTTTTTTAGCCTGGGGAGAGCATCCACAAATAGTGGAATCCCTTCTGTGCTTAATGGTGTTCACATTTTGTGCACAAAATGGCAGTTTTGGGTGGGCAGCTGCAGGTGAAGAGTGTGCAGACTCAGTCATTCATACATGCAGACTCTTGCAGTGCACAGAGAAGTGCCAGTATTAGCGAAAGGCTCTGTGCTCATTTCCACCATCTTTTGGACTGATATTCCCATATAAGAGCTGGGAATCTTCCTATGGACAGCTGAATTGTAAAAATCACAGCAGGAAGCAAAAGTGTCCTGATTTGTAGCTATCATGGTTAGATATCAGAGCCAGTTAGGTGTCAGTCTCATCCCAGATTCCAGAACCTATTTCTTCAGAAACAGGGAAAAAGTGTGAATAATGTCAATGAGAAATGAAATTAGTAGCTGATCCAACAGATTAATATTATTTAGAGTTTAGTATTGCAAAAGACTCAGAGACACTCTTTGTTAGAAAGCTGATTTTCTTTATAAAATTAGGTTTTTAATTAGAGGCTATCTCTGCCTACAAACCTCAGACCTGTAGTTTGGACCTGTTCCTGAGTGTTTGGAAAGTCTTCACCAGTCTCAGTGACAGCTGGAACTGTCCTTGCAGTCACAGACTATCAAGACCAGAAATGTCCCTCATGGCTATATAAATATTAAACATTCAAAATGTATCAGAGCTCTTCCAGTGCCTCCTTTTGGACAGGAGACTTATCCATTTTTTGTCACTGCATTTAGGATGAAGTAGTTGGAGGGAGACCTCCACAAATTCCTGTTTTATTTTTCTTTCACAAGCAAAGCTTTGCTGCCAAGTTATTAACAAGGGGCTTCCAAAGTACAGCCCAGGGGAGACAATTCCAAATTTTAGACTGTTTGGCCTGAGCCTTGTTAATAAGGGGCTCCTGGAGAGCTTCCTCTGTTCTATCAGGGGATTTCAGCAGCCTGTAGGGCTGACTGCAAATTCCCTGGAAGATATTGCTCCTACTGTTTGTCTGGCCATGCTTAGTGCTGAACCTTTTACTGGGGGCCCTCTGAAATTTTCCTCCCCACTGAGGTTTCGGAATGCATGGAGCCATTACAGGAAGCCAGCAGCGTTAATGCCTAGATTGTTTTTTATTTATTGAAACAATTTATTACAATAGCAATAACAGCCTTGGCCTGGGGCATTTCCTGGGGAACTAATGGCAGTCTTGGCTGATGCTCCCAGCAGATTGTTAGCCCTCAGGAAACAAGCTCCAAAATTGCTGCTGGTTTAGTTGGAAAAATAAAATAAAATGTGTTTTTAATTTTTTTGTCCAGTTTGAGTGCCTAGAGAATGGTGGTTTTTGTGTAGAGGGTTATGTAGAGCGTATATCTTTTGTCTGCATGGACTAATTTTAGGCTTGAATCAATGACATTTTTATCAATCCTTCCAATCCAGAGAGAGAAATACAAGAAAGGAGAAAGGTAGCCTCAGCCAAAGAGATTGGCAGAAACTGGGTTCTGCTGGAAGCTGGGAGCTGTCATCTACAGCATTGTAAGAAAAAGCTTCAGTGGTCAAAATCTATGTTTTAGTGAGTGTAAACACACATAGCACACAAGAATATATATCAAAATTGTGCTAACTCCTGATACTCATGCCAATACACATTTAAAGAACTTTTTTCCAAGTATAATGAGTGTTTTGAGAAGCTTCCCTGTTGATGTGATGAATCTGGGCCACCTTCAAGCTTTCGGAAGCTGCTGAGCATCCATTTGCTGAAGAAGGTGCCTGGTTTTGGTCTTTACAAGTAGAACATGCAGTGTGTTAGGCTCTCAAAATCACCAATCAGCCATAAAAACCCCCAAATCTAGGCTATTGCTGACTTGGCTACTTGAAGTGAGAAAAAGCAGAGCCTGTGGTTTTGAGCTTAAGTTGCTCTTTCTGCTGTAAAAAAAAAAAAAAAAAGAGATGCTGCTGTGCAAGTGGATTGTATGCACGATAAATGTCAAGACTGCAGCTGAACACAGGGTTACATCTCTGTGAGGAAGTCCAGACAGTGTCTCAGATGGTGACAGAGTAGCTGTAGGAGCTCATAAATGCCACTGGAGCCCAAAAATTCAATTACAGCTCTTGCACTGCATGAAGGGCTGTATGGACGAGCACAGGCAGGGGAAGAAAAATGGTTGCTTAAGGAGCAATGGAGGTAAAATTGCTCATGAACTGGATACAGTAGCATGGAAAAAGGAGTGTGGAGGAGAAAGGAAAGGCAAGACAAGGGCAAAATTGGGGGCAGAGAATCCACATGTGTCAGTGTCTCAGGCTCCAGTCTATGTTTTTTTATGAGTTGCTCTAAAGGAGTGAGCAGTGGAACTAATGCAACCAAATCAAGCCCATGTGTGTGCAGGACTAGTGCTCAGGGAAGTGCTCATGGCATCCTCTCAGCCAGGCAGAGCCAAGGCAGGCTGCACCCAGTGCCTTCCAGGACAAACACCCCAGTTCTGCTCATTTGCTCACACTCCCATGATCCAGGTGGCCCCAGAGCCCTTCTTAGGGCTACCTGCAAGAGGAGCTGGGTGATTCCTGTCCTCAGTTAAATTGCACATAGAGGTAAAAGTGTTCTCAGGTAGGGACTCTGCTTTTACTGTTTACACAGGACTGGATGGACAGCAGCAGCCTCTGCTTTTTCCTCCTACTGCACAAAGGAGGCTGCAGTTTTAATTTGGGTCGTGACCCTTGCATTCAGAGTAGCCATTGCCTCCAATGGAGGCAGGATTTCACTCAGCCAGGCTGCTGCAGGGGCCATTGGCACATTCTCCATGCCTGCTCTAGTATCTTTTTTACCTTTGGAATTTTGCTGTCTTGTTTTTCTCAAAATATCTTAGTTTAAAGCCTGTGGCTTTGGTCTTACTTGACCTTCCAACTACTGCTGCATTTTGTAGAATGTTTGGTTCCAAGATACCTTACAGATCATCTGACGACCTAAAGGCCATCAGTTCTAACCCCCTGTCATGGGCCCACTGGCACATTCAGTTCAGTGTCCTGCTTGTTCTTTGCATTACAGCTGAGTTTGCAGGAGGCTGGACCACCCTTTTTTTTTTTTTTTGACTTATCTGCTGCACTTTCCTTATCTTTCTTTGTCCTATCTTCATCCTGATTTTCCCCCATGTCATCGACACCAATCGCTCTTGGATCAGTCTAATGATTTATTAGCCAATTTTCAGACTATCTTGACATCTTCTTCCACTTTGGCTCATCAGTCACCTCTGAGATTCATTTGGGAGAGAAGTGAAGAGCACAAAGGCATTCAATCTCTGTAACTGCTCCATGAGCACCTCCAGGCCCTGAACTACAGGCTGCTTAGAGCCGCACAAGCCAGTGTTTGGGGTCTGACCATGGAGTCAAAGAATATTTTAGGTTGGAAGAGGCCTCTGCAGGTCACCAGGTCCAATCCCCTGGTCAGAGCACAGCTAACTTCTAATTTAGAACAGCTTTGAAATTAGAGCAGGGTCTTGCCCTGTTGAGTTTTGAACATCTCCAAATAGTTTCCAGTTCACCTTTGACAAACTTTGCTTTGGGAGATTGGCTGGAAAGGGCACTTCTAAAAGCACTGTGCAGGGAAGTGAAGCCTTTTAGCTACAGAGATCTTTTGGGGTCGAATGTCAGGGTCTCAGCTGGCAGAAACTGTTATGGATCCTTCTCTGGGCTCAAGGGAGTAAAACTCATCTGAGGAACTGACTCCATCCTTGAGCACAAGACACTCAGCAGACACTGTAGACTAGAGCTGGCCTTGACACTTCTGCTCAGTTCCCCTTTACCCATTTAGTGCACCAATAAACTAGGATGATTCAGCCCAGGGGAATGGCAGTAACAACATTTATCATAATTACACGTCTAAGTAGTCCCATGAACCAAAAAAAAAAGGAAAAAAAAAAAGGAGGTGGTACATAAACAAGATGACCTACTTTGAAAAGCATTGTGGATCCTTTGGAGTCTTGTTATATCACCTCAGAAATGTGGCTGTGCAGGACTCATCCTGTTGGTGCACTGACTCCAGTTCTGCCTGTGGAGCACAGGTAGATATTTTGGTGGTCTGGGCAGGGAGCCAGCACTCTTGCCTTAGATAAGCAAATGAAGTCTATGAATAAATCATGTGCATTTTTGCCATGCTGCCAAGCCTCCCATTTCAGCTGGGCCACAGCACAGGGCACATAAAGTTTTGTAATCATCCTTATGCCTGATGTGAAGGCTGAGGATGCGACAGCAAGATGCACTTACCTGCAGCTGGCTGTGCAGCAGCCCCGCGGGAATCAGAGTTAGCTCTGTGGGCTGCTCCCTTCCCTTCCAGACAACTCCCAAACACAACTGCAGCAAACCCACATTCTCCATGTGAGCAAATGCCTTGGCAGCAAATCCAGGGTTTAAATTCCTGATTGCCTTGGGGGGAGGAGACAGGAGGGCATGGAAGTAAAAGCAGCCATTGGAAACTAGGCCCCTCTAGAAAGTGTTGTGGTGTGTGCTCTGTTCTTTGAAGGGTTCTTTTCCTCCATCATCTCCTTTCTCCCTGCAGAAAACCCTGAGCGGGCTGCGCTGTATTTCGTGTCTGGAGTGTGCATTGGACTTGTGCTGACCCTGCTGGCCCTGGTGCTCCGGGTGTCCTGCCGGACGGACTGCAAGCGCTCCTCCTCCAAAAAACCTCCCCGGGAGCGGGAGAGCGACAGCGACAGCAGCGACAGTGACGACGACTCGGACACCACGTCGGACCTGTCGGCCCGCAGGCACCGCAGGTTCGAGAGGACTTTGAACATGAACGTGTTCACCTCGGCGGAGGAGCTGGAGCGGGCGCAGCGGCTGGAGGAGCGGGAGCGCATCATCCGCGAGATCTGGATGAACGGGCAGCCGGACATTCCCGGCACCAGGAGCCTCAACCGCTACTACTGAACCATGGGGACTCCGTGCTCCTGCCCTGCGCCCCGGGGCTGCCCCACACCTCGGGCAGGAGAGGGAGGGGACAGTACAACACAGGCATCTCCCTTTTTCCCACCAGGTGTGCCACCTGGAGCGTGTGGATGGACAGCGGTGATGACTCCCCAAGTCTCTCCCTGACATATTGGTATCACCCCTCTTCCCGGACGCTTTCTGGTTTCAAAGAAGTGAGTGCCAACTTGCCAACTTCCCTTCCGAGCAGCAGGCAGGGAGGAGACAATGGCAGCTCTCCCGTGTGGGATGTGGCATTGGGCACACCATGGTGTGAGTGCTCCTTTCTTGGCTGGACAGCGAGGCTCTCCAGGATCTGGTCTTCATTTAGGATTTTTTGGTTTCCCTTTCGCGAGGACTGTGGAAGAACTGTGAACAAAATGACAACTCTGGAACGATGATTTGGGGGAGGTGCATCCTGACCGATTGTCTTGTGACTTCAGAAGCCATGAGATTAACCTAATTACAACCCAAATGCAAATAGGACTTGTTAAGAACTGGGGGATGGGAGGGAGGGGGATTCTTCCATCGTGAAATCATCTCGGTGCTTGGATGTTTGCCATAGTGTGTTCAGTTATTTATGGCTGTCTTTTCATCTTCCTTTTCAATGGGAACATTTAGTTTTTTTACTGACACCTCAGGGATAAAGTCCTACTATTTTTTTGAGTCTGCTCTCCCTGCTGGCCCCTGTCAAACACAACCCAACCCATCTCCAACAGTGAAATTCTGGTAATATAGAGATGTGTCAGTCACTAGTGAGAAGTTAAAAACCTCAAAGAGGTTGAAAAAGGTTTTCTTTTTGTTTTAAATATATATATATATATATATATTTGAAGATGCTGCACAGGAATGTGCCTTATTCTGTTTTTTTTGTTTTTGTTGTTGTTGTTAAACTACAGTTTTCCTATGGATAGCAATGCACAATGTTTTATATATTTTATTAAAAAAATAAAATTTAAAAAATTCTGTGTTTACCAGAGGAAAACCAACACAGAAGAAGCTATGTCCAACAACAAAATGGGTAATAAATGCTAAATAAACTCTGGTTTGCTTCAATACAATTGAATTTGCATCCTCACTTTTGGCATAGGTGTTCCTTGAGGGAAATCTTTGGAAGAGTGGTACACCTCTGCAAGCAATCAAGGCTGGTGTTTTCTGCATGCAGGGAGCTGGCAGCACCTTTTTTTTCAGTTGCAGCCCATCTACCAACTTGTGTGGTGCACACGGGCAGGAGAGCTGAGCAACGTGTTGGTTACTCAAGGTGTCACGTCAACGTGATTTCATGATGCTTTGAGTCTGTCCCCCATGCTCACATCATACCTGGGCCAGAAAGAAATGTTAAATGAACTAAAAGACAAAACCAACACAAAGTGTGGAAGGAAAAGGTGCAATGTTTTAGTGCTTCTTCAGTCGTCCCCTGGAGTTTTCAGTGGGATGTCATCACCCTCTTCACTCCCCAAGCAGCAGTTCACATCACCTCAGCTGAAGAACTTGGTGTTTCTCACATCTGCTTGGCACTGTTGTAGCCTGCATGGCTTTGGGGCCTGCTCCTCTGTCATTTAGGCCTGGAAATATTATTTCCAGAATCTTAAGGGTTTGCAAGGAAAATAAAGATCAAAAGCTCTGACTACCCAGAGCTTTTCCCAAGCTTTAAGGAGAGATGGAAATGGGTGGATCTGCCTACAAGATGACTGAGGATGTTATAAGGGATGGTGTGCTGTGCCAAACAGCTGCATGGTGGGACAGACCCCTGGCACTTGGGGCCTTCCTGGCACTCTTTGGGATCACTGGGGCTTTTCCCTTAATGAGAAAAACTGGTTGGGAGCACCCTAAATACTCCTCGTCGCTCTTGCAGGGTGAGAGCAAGGCTGAGTACCTGCAGCTGGTGGCACTGGCACTGTCTGAGGTCAGGATGGCTGGTCAGAGGTGGCTTCACCTGGGAAGGCAATTTGAGCACTCTGGAGTGATTCTGGGTCTGGTCCTGTGAAGATTTGAATGGAAAGGCTCAGTGTTGGAATGGAATATGATTTTTGCATCTAATATGTAGAAATAAAGCAGGAGGCAGGTCCCAAGCCAGGTGCTTTAGCTGGAATGTTGAACACACTCTGCTGAGGGTGTTGAGGAGCAAAGACAGGGCGAGGTCAGTGGGATCAGTTCTGTTGGCCGTGTGTTTTCCCTTACAATGACACAGTCCCTCAACACTGGTGATTCAAGGACAGCATGTTTTCAGATTAGAATGCTCTGTCCTGGGACACAGCTTGCAAAACTGATTTTAAAAATGTTATAAATGAATGATTTATGTGTATGATTTTCCCAAATGACTATTTGTTTGACCAGAGGAAAGAACAACTGTGGTAAATCTAAGTATACCTGATTTGCAACTGTGGGATTAAAGTATCTGGTTCAAATGTAAATCACAGCCAAACTTAAGTTGCAAATGGATGAACAGTCCTCCCTTAGCATTGCTAGTGCTGCTGTAAATCTTCCAGATGAAGTTTCAAATAAAAAGGAGCAGGGTTGAGCAGACAAACCCATCACAGCCTTGCCCTAGGTAAAAAAATGTAATACAAGTAGTCTCACTGTCTTCACTCCACAAGCAATACCTTCACATACTTTCTAGCTCCTATTTTGTGTCAGGGACTTTCATTTCTAAGAAAACTTTGACTAAAGAAAAACTGCAATCCTTGGAGCTATGGAAAAGACTTTAATTCATTGGGTAGCTATTTCTCAATTTGTCTCAGAAGTGCTCAATAGTTTGTCTGAGGAACAAAACAGTCAAAATTCATGGGGCAAGAGTTTGATGGTTTGTCTTTAGCTCCAGCAATGGAGCAAAATCAGTCTCCTGGAGTATGGAAGAGCTGGATTCACTGGGGGTGGGGTCAAATCTGTATTTCTTACCCTGCAAAAGAATATCTTAAGCACACAGAGGTTTGGACTTGTCTGGTTTCCACCTTCTGTGTTGTGCTCAGTGTGCCATGTGAATATTAAAACACTCATAGAGCCAGGGAGCAGAGAAAAATTGCTTTTCTGCAAGCCTACTGTGAATCCCTCTTGTAGGAGGTTATGCATAGCTCTGCTTTCTTACTTCCATGCTTAATTAATTTTTTACATTAAAATGAAATATTTTTTCCAGAATAACACTCTTCAAATTCACCATGACAGATAAAGGAGTTGAAATAATTTTTTTTCTGTTTTCTGAATGAAATTCTTAATTTACATTTTGGGTGAAGAGATGCTGAATTCATTTTCCATGTGGACCTGGTTTTTGTGCCTCAGTTTAACTTTAGAATTTTATAATGGGGATAACAGAGCGATCCTGGACTTGATCATAGTGGGAAGCACATGACTTTATATTTAAAGTAGCAGCATTGCAGTTGCCACATGCTGTCTGCTGGACCCAAGGATTGAGGTAAGCGAGCCTTGAGCAGTGAAGTGCCTGTGCTGGACACTTTCACGCCTCTTGCAACTGCAGGATACTTGGATTAGTAACCACAGAGCAGTGCAGTTGTACCATGTTAGCTTAGTGGATGAGTGTGATGGGTTGGAAATCTGAGGGTTGCGCTCCTGGGAGAAGATGAACACATGGAAGATATGAGTCAGGTTTTCAGAGCCTTGGCTGCACGTTCATTGTCAGATAGTTACAGAAGCCATGGCTGTGCATGGAGAGGTGGCAGAGGGAAGGTTGCTCCAGCCAGACCCCACCCTGGTGTCCCACTCTCTTCCCATGGCCCCTGACTTCTCAGGGCTGTTTTCCCCTCCTGCCACCATCCGGCCATGGGCACTGACCTCCTTTGAGGACCTGTGTTCAATGTACCCTGAAAATCTCAGTAATGTGGTGTTTGCTGCCTTTCCCATGTCCACCCTGGTGTTCATACCCTCGATGAATTCCAGCTGGTTAATGAGGCATGCCTTTCCCCTCCAGAAACCATGGTGCGACTACTTAACCCCTTGCCTGCCATCCTTCCCAGCACCCCAGGGGCTACACAAATAAAATGAGCTCCCTGAGCCATGGTACTGCCAGGATGTACAGCATATGCCTGTGGTGCTGCAGGGAATCCGAATTTCCTTTTGTGCTGCATGGAACATCTCAAGTTTCTGGAGGTGTCACAAGCAATTAATCATCTAAGACTGGCCCAGAAATCCTTCTGCTCAGAATCATTGTGGAGGTTTTTTCACAGTGAAGTTTTAATAATCTGATCTGAATTTCTACTGTCCTTAGATACCCCCAAAAATAATTCCCAGTGTTGCTTGCCTTTGCTTGTACATTCATTAGAAGTGGTGCAGCTTGCTCCTTCACACAATTTCCTCTATTTTTTGCGGTTGTCTCAAGGACTCTCAGTTAAACACAACCAATCAAAAAGGCAGAAATGGTTTTGGTTCCTCACAGGGCAGCTCACCATTGTGTGCTTTCCTACACCCCTGAGCTGAAGGTGCTGTCTTACTCTGAGTGATGTGGTGGTTTAGTAGTATTTAAACAAATATTTAGGCAAATCAGTTGCTTGGGGGGTTTTCAGTTCTGGGCACTGAATGGATCTATTCCAGTGACAGTGAAGTAATGTCACCATTGGGATCCCTGTCACCAGGGAGCCTGGGGCACTGGGGTAATGTCACTGGGAATGATGTGTGGGCTGAACCATGACCATGCAAGCTGCTTGGAGGGTGTGTGCCATGGGTGCTCTAGGGGCACACTTGCTCATACCATGAGAGTCAGCCAGCTCCCCAGGTGGATCTCTCCAGAAGGATGGATGGCTTTGTCCTCAAAACAAACTCAAGTCCAACTGGCCCATGATTTCCCTTGGGAGGTCTGTGTTTGCTGAGAGGAGAGGTAAGATACATTCCTTGTTCAGGTTCCTGGAAACATGGACAAAACTCCTCCAGAGTCAGGTTTAATGGATATCTACACTGATTCTCTTTTCCCTCTGTCTGACCACTGGCGGGGAGCTCAGGAAGGTCCCAGAAGGAGGGAGGTGCTGCACCAATGTTCTCCACACTGAACCTCTGATGAGACCCCTTGATGGTTGGGAGTGAGGGACAGGGGACTCCTGCTGCTGATTTACCACACCTGTAACCCCCAGACAAAGCTCCCTGGGGAT